GAGTTTGAGATCAACCTGGGCAGCATGGCAAAACCCTGTTTCTAGCAAAAATACAAAAAAAAATTAGCTGGGCAGTGGCGCACATCGGTGGTCCCAGCTATTCACTACTCAGGAGGCTGACGTGAGAGATCACTTGAACCTGGGAGGCAGAGGTTGCAGTGAGCTGAGATTGCACCAATACACTCCAGCCTGGGTCTCAAACAAAAAGAGAGGGGAGAGCTTGGCAGGGAAGGGGCTGGGGAGTAAGCCTGCCGAAGCCAGTTTCTCTCTCTGCCCCATTATCTCCCAGACAGATGCCTGTGTGTCCTTCTCTTCTCCAGTCATCACAAGTGGGACAGCTGGTTGGAGGCAAGGTGACCTACTAAGTCACCAGCTCCTGAACTGAGATTGCATTGCTTCGTGCCTGGCAGTTGCTAACAACAGAGTCTCCCATGTGTAGATGGCAACAAGGGTGGGCCCTGGGCTGTGGCAAGGTACAGCTGGCCAGGTGGATAGGCGCAGAGAGCAGCGGGGGGAATAGAGACAAGAAAATACTCCATCTTGGTCCCCAGATGCTCCAGCAGTGCCCATATTCCACACGCAAATAGGTGCCAGGCCTGCAGGTTATAGTTTACTAATCATAGCTTTAGTGGACAATAAAAGGTAAAATAATTTGCTTTGGCTGTGATGGTTCTAAAGTATATCCACAAATTCTTTCACATTCTTCCCTTTAAAAAGGAAGGGAACTTAATTCCTCTCCCCTTGAGCATGGGCTCACTTAGTGACTCACTTCTAGTGACTAGAATGTGGTGAAAGTAATGGTGTGTGGCTTCTGAGATTAGGTCTTCACTTTCTCTCAGATCACTCACTCTGGGAAGTCACCTATCATGTCATGATGATGCTCAAGCAGCCTTGTGGAAAAGCTTCACACGGAGAGGAACTGAGGCCTCCTGCCAACAGCCATGAGAGGGGGCTGTCGTAAAAGCAGATCTTCTAGCCCCGTCAAGCCTTCAGATGACAGCAGCCCCTGTGGACATCTTGACCACAACTTCATGAGACCCTAAGCCAGAAACATTCATCTAAACTTCCCCGGACCTCTGACTCTCAGAAACTGTGAGATAATAAATGTTTGTTATTCTAAACTGTTATGCCTGGGGGTAACTTGTTATGCAGCAATAAATAAGACAGTGGATTTTTACAAAAGATACTTTAAAAAACCAGTCATAACCTATGGTGCCATCTGGTGTCCATGTCCAGCTGCCTCCTTGAATTTGCTCTTGGATGTCTCACACACATCTCAAAGAAGCATGACGCCCTCCAAACTTGCTCTGTTAGAGTCTGTCCGTCCTGGGCCTCCCTTAATTCTACACCTCAGGAATGACTCCATCATAATCTAGAAGATGTAGAAGTCATTTTTCTTCCAGACGAAGTCTTGCTCTGCCGCCCATGCTGCAGTGCAGTGGCACAATCTTGGCTCACTACAAACTTCGCCTCCTGGGTTCAAGCAATTCTCCTTCCTCAGCCTCCTGAGTAGCTGGGGTTACAGGCACAAGCCACCATACCCGGCTAATTTTTGTATTTTTAGTACAAATGTGGTTTCACTATGTTGGCCAGGCTGGTCTTGAACTCCTGACCTCAGGTGAACTGCCTGCCTCAGCATCCCAAGTGCTGGGATTACAGGTGTGAGCCACTATGCCTGGCCAGAGTCACTTCTTTTGCTTTGTCTCCTCATTCTGCCCACCCATTATGCAGATGGCATGCACACACACACACACATACATTCATCCGCACATCCAGTTATCACTTAGGTCTTAGAGGGCATGCACTTCTCACCACCCACTAGTGTCACACCTTACCTCAGTTGTGCAAAAGCCTCCTAACTGGTCTCCTGGCTTCCCACTCACCTCCACCCAATCCATCTTCTACTCAATAGTGAGAGTCACTTTCCAATGAGAACTAGATCATGCCACCACATGACACAACCCCCCTGAGACCTGCCTTTGAAATGAGAATGGGATCCCAGCTTTCCACAGAGTCAGTGAGCCCCTGGCACAGTCTGCCCTTGGCCAGCCCATCCCACCTCACCCCTACTTTCCTCTCCTCAATGCTTGTCCCCCCCATCCTCTTCCCCCTCAGAGCTCAGCACACACTGCTCCCTCAGCCCAAAACCTTCCTCCCCCATTCACGTGGCTTCCTCCCCACATCCCTGGAACCCACCTCAAATGTTTTCTCCTGTCTGGCCTTCCCTGCCTCCTCATCTAAAGTAAACCCTCCTGTTATTTTATTTCTCAGTCTACTGTTTGCTGACATCACAACACTTAGTGCAAGTTAGAGTATTTGATTAATCATATTTTATCTGTCCATGGACCAAGCCATAGAGGAGCCATAGTTCACTGACAAGAGTAGCACCTGGGAGTCCCCATCCTTGGGTTCACAGCCTGGCCCCCATGAGTTCAGCTGAGCAGGTCATACCATAGCATATGATGGGAAGTAGAGGGGCCCCTCCATCACCTTGTCCAAGCCCCTGCAGAGAGAGGTGTGCCATGGCCATCAAATGAGGGGGCTTTGAGTAGCCCAAGGGCTACAGGTGCCAGTCCCCTGCTTCTGAACCTCAACACAGAAACCACGTGAACTGAGCCAGTGTACCTGGTGTGTACTTCTGTTTTTCAGTGCCTAGGAACCCTAAGTAACTAACATTTATGGGCACTCATTAAAAGCAGAAAGACAGAAGCCTTGTCCATGCCTCCAAGTTCCCAATCTAGAAGGAGAGCATCAAAGGGTATATTTCAGTGCAGCCCGTTCCTTAGACAATGGGGGCTGAACCAACCCCGGTGGGAGGCAAAAGAGAGAGGGTAGAGGGGAGGGATTGGGAGAGTCCTGCGGGGACCTTGAAGAAGGGGAAGGGCTCACAGTGGAGGTTTGGCTGGATAACTTTCCACACCCCTCCCCCCCCAGCCCGGTTATATCAGAACCACTATACAGAGCCATCTACTTTGCAGAGCCAGAGGGCATGACTGGAAAAGCATGTCCCCTGGCACCAGGGCACTAGTCTCCACTCAGAAGTCATATGCCAGGGGGAGGGGGGTTTCTGGTCACCTAGTCCTCTCCCTTCTTGTCAGGTGACACTGGGCTGCTGGGTAGGAGGTGCGGAGTAGGTGCAGGGTTAACCCCTCAGAGCATCCTAAGAAGGACCTGGGGGAGTCTGAGAGGAGTCTCACCTCATCACGCAGGTGCCAAGCCATTCTTGGCATTCCTTCTGTGAGGCTGGGAGGGGGACAGGAGCAAGCGATGGAGCAGGAGAGGAGGACGGAGCTGATGCCAGAGGTCACCTGAACCAGCCATGCAGAGAGAGGCTCTCTCCTCCCCACCTGCCCCTCAGAACCCCAGGACCCTTCCACCCCAGGCTGCCTAGCTCCAAGCCCTCCACAGCAGCCTTCCAGAGTGTCATCAATGTGAGGAAAACCTCTATCATCAGCCTTGCTGGATCCAAGAGAAGGACTGTAACCCATGGGAATTTCTGGGGACACCAAGATACAATAGGCAATAATATGACAACTAAGGAGCTTTGGCAACTCACGAATTCCATTCTGTCCTCACATAAGGCCGCTGCCCAGACACCAGGGTTGGAATGATATAGTGAGTTTTCTGATAGAAATGGGGGTAAGTAGGAGCTAAATAGCCAAGTAAGGTCAATATAGTCAGCTAAATTCTGAATTAAATATTTATGCCACATGAGCAGAGTTTCCCTGGGGATACCTGACTCATTTTATTGTAATTTGTTAAGCTAGAAAATCCAGCCAGGGTAGGCAGAGGATTAGGAGGGCAGTTCCTGGGCCAAGCTGCCAAGGCTGGAGCCCTGCCTACACACTCTCTGGCCGCACGTCCCTGAGAACAGGGCCTAACCTCTCTGAGCCTGGTGTTCTCCTGTCGACGTGACGGAGCGAACAGCACTGAGCTTACAGGTTGGCGAGAACAGTAGGTAGGATCGGTGTGTCAAGTGCTTAAGACGGTACCCCGCACCTAGTAAGGTCAAAAAAGGTTCAGTCGGGCTGGGAGCAGTGGTTCACGCCTGTAATTCCAGCACTTTGGGAGGCCCAGTCAGGCAAATCACGAGGTCAGGAGTTTGAGACCAGCCTAGCCAACATGGTGAAACCCCCGTCTTTACTAAAAATACAAAAAATTAGATGAGTGTAGTAACCAGCACCTGTAATCCCAGCTACTCGGGAGGCTAAGGCAGGAGAATCGCTTGAACCTGGGAGGCGGAGGTTGCAGTGAGCAGTGCCACTGCACTCCAGCCCGGGCCAGAGTGTGACTCCGTCTCAAAAAAAAAAAGTTCAATTATTTAAAGAAAAAAGAAAGGAAACTAAGAATCACTGTCACCAGTTAAATGTAAGACGGAAAACAAGAGGTATGTGCGCATCCAAGGGTTTTTCTCCAACTGGCGTGATTAGCAGAGGTTCTTTGGGTGAAGAAGAACCTCTTCATAGAAGAGGGACAGGACGGAGCTGCTAACATGCCAAACAAGTCTTCCTCCTTTGGGTCTCCAGTCACTTTCCGCCCTTGCCCCCTGACTGTCCCCACCCCAAGCCAGTGGGCGTGAGACGCTGGGAGAAAAGACTTCCCGGCAGGGCCATGTGTCAATCATCCCTTTCAGGGCACAAACAAAGTTGATTTATCTCCCCTGGACAGAGCTTTGGACCAGAAAACTTTGGGCTCAGCCTCGGGTGCCTGGGCGGTACGCGCAGGGTACTTGCTAACCCGGAGCAGGATTCACTCGCGGGGACCCCGCCCACCCTACGTTCTCTCGGTTCTGGCCAACCCACCGTAGTCCTGGACCTCAGATACCGGCCGCATTTGCCTAAACCCCAGCCGCGGGTGCTCAGTCACCAAGGCACGGAGGACGGCATAAACAACTGCGCGCCCCGGGCACCGGCCGCCCGCGTCCTCCCACGAGGAACGCACGCCCCCCACCCCCGCTCCCGCCCCCGCCCCGCGGGCCACCTCGGACGCCCCGCGCTTACCTGCCCCGGGGGCGGGCGCTGACAGTCCCGGCCTGCCCGCTGCGGCTGTTTACACCGCAGAGGCTGTTTACACCCGCTGAGCAGCACAGCCGAGCCGGAAGGAGCCTCCAGTGCCTGTGCGCTAACAGGCTATATTTGTAGGCGGATAATATGATCTGGAGGACATGTGCTAACCGACTATCTATTCTATGTGACTCAGTCCAGCCTGAGACAAAACAGACTTCGTCGGGGAGGGCTTGGCACCCAGCGCGCCGCGGCCCGCCAGCGCGAGCCCTGGCCCCAGGACCGTCTGCAGCCTCCCACCCAGGGCCAGACTTTTCCACATTGGACATCCCGGAGTGTGTGGAGTGGAACGGGGGCAGGGAAGGTAGCGGGTTCCATGCGTTCAGCGCGCTACACTCGGAATCGAGCCAGACGCAGGCTTTGAAAGCCTTGCGACCAAGGGAATGTAAAAGTGTTTCCAGTGTTGGAAGCAGCAGACACCGAAGGTCTCAATTTCATCGTTATATTTAATCTTTTTAATATCCTAAAATGTATGTGAGTTTACGTTCTCTTTGGAGAGTTTACTAATTGGGCAAATACGTTTTACTGATAGTCGACATCCTGAAAATAATAATCAGTAGTCAAGTCCCTTGCCGCTCCCAGGGGTACATGTGGCCACTTCCTGACCCTTAATGGCAATGGCTCCTCACAGTCAGTCCTTAGCCTAAAACTGAAAAATGCCTTTTGTGTAATCTATACGTCAGACTTCTAAAATCCGTTTCCTTAAAAAGCATTATTTACTACATGGAATACCTTCTATTTGTTGGTGTTTATGATTGATGGCATTTGTTGTTGATATTTATAATTAAATTAGTGAAAATTACATACTATGTGGTTGATGAGGCTCGAGAAATATTTGTGACTATCTTAAATCATACCTCTGAAGTGTTGGTTGTGCTTTTTTTTTTTATTACTTAGAACTTTAAAATTATTTTTCTCTTTTGATTAAGTTACCTGTTTCGAGGCCGGGCACGGTAGCTCACGCCTGTAATCCCAGCACTTTTTGGGAGGCTGAGGCTGGTGGGTCACGAGGTCAAAAGATCGAGACCATCCTGGTCAACTTGGTGAAACCCCGTCTCTACTAAAAATACAAAAAATTAGCTGGGCATGGTGGCGCGTGCCTGTAATCTCAGCTACTCAGGAGGCTGAGGCAGGAGAATTGCCTGAACCCAGGAGGCGGAGGTTGCGGTGAGCCGAGATCGCGCCATTGCACTCCAGCCTGGGTAACAAGAGCGAAACTCCGTCTCAAAAAAACAAACCAAACAAAAAAAGTTACCTGTTTCGTTTTGTTTTTTTTTTTTTTTTTTTCCTGGTATTCTGAACCAAAGAATACAAATTGAAAAGGCAGTTCAGATCCTATCTACAAAATACAAAACTCAGGTGCAGTGGCTCATGCCTGTAATCCCAACATTTTCAATTTATGAGAGGCCTAAATATTCAAAAGCTTATCATACTACTATTTAAATGGAAAAAAAAAAGTTTTCCCATGAATGCATTCAAATGCCTTTATGATGTTAATTTTGGAGCAGAGGCCATTGTGTAGGACTGGCCTCTCAGACTATCACATGCACCCAAATAGGGGTGAGGAATTGAGCAAAGAAAAATATAGAATGTCAGTTAGATGTGAATTGCAGGTCAACAACAAATTGTTTTTTAGTACATCTTAAATATTACAAGAAACATGCCTATACTAAAAACTTATTTGCTGTTTATCAGAAATCCAAATCTAACTGAATGTCCTGTATTTCATCTGGCAACCCTATACTAAAACCACCTGGAATCTTACTAAAATGCAGAGTATGGTCCAGGCCAGAGACAGGCTGCAAGTCTGTATTTCTTACAAGCTCCAGATGGGGCCAATGCTGCTGCTCCCTGACCACAGGCGAGCGATAAGAGTCTGGAATTAGCACAGTCTGGTGCAGTGCTACCCAGGACTGGCTCCTCACTGGCACAGCCTGAGCAGGGCCCTCTCCCACTAGGAGGTCCTGACTCAGTAAGCCTGGGGCAGGGTCCAGGAGTCAGTATTTTCAACATGCTTCATAGTTACTTCTGATTCACAGTCAGGGATGTGAACCAGGAAGTATTTTAAAATACAAGATGTACTGATGCTCATGTAAGGAATTGTCAATATCCTATTAAACTTGCTATATACAGATTGCTGTGTTTCCTGGTTGTGTCCAGTTTCTGAGATCGCAGGGGACAGCAGGAAGGACATTGCCCTGTACTCTTCACTTCCCAGGGCCCCCTTGCAGCTGGAAACAGCCCAATTCATATGCAGCCTTATTATTACCAACCCCAAGAGCTCAACACCTTCTTTTGCAGCTCCGCTCTATCTGGGCTGAGAGCCTCTCCTGAAATGCAGTGTGCAGATCACAGCTTCAGCTTCTCCATGGATATTTCCCCGACTTCCACTGGGGTTCCACATACACGCTTGCCCAGAAATCGGTTGGGGGACCAAATGCATTCCTTACAGCGATTCTGGGCCTAGCACTCCTGTCAGAACAGGAGTCACAGGCACAGTGAAGCTTTCTTCCAAGAAAATCCCTGGCGAGGCATGGTGGAGCACTCCTGTAATCCCAGCACTTTGGGAAGCTCAAATTCAGGAGTTCAAGACCAGCCTGGGCAATCTAGCAAAACCCTACCTCTACAAAAAAAAAAAAAAAAAAAAAAAAAAAAAAAAATATATATATATATATATATATATATATATATATATATACACATACATACAGAACCCAGGTAGGGTGGCTCATGACTATAACCCCAGCACTTTGAGAGGCCAGCACATAAATCACTTGAGGTCAGGAGTTCGAGACCAGCCGGGCCAACATGGTGAAACCCCAACTCTACAAAAATACAAAAATTAGCCAGGCATGGCAGTGGGCACCTGTAATCCCAGTGACTCAGGATGCTAAGGCAGGAGAATTGCTTGAACCCAGGAGGCAGAGGTTTCAGTGAGCTGAGATCGCATCACTGCACACTCCAGCCTGGGTGACAGAGCAAGATTCTGTTTCAAAAAATAAAAAAATACAAAAATTAGCCAGGTGTGGTGGCACACACTACTCAAGAGGCTGAGGTGGAAGGACCCATTGAGCCTGGGAGGTTGACACTGCAGTGAGCCAAGATCATGCCTGAATGACAGAGTGAGACCCTGTCTTAAAAAAAAAAAAAAGAAAAGAAAAGAGGCCAGGCACAGTGGCTCACCTTTGTAATCCCAGCACTTTAGGAGGCTGAGGCAGGTGGATCATGAGGTCAGGAGTTCAAGACAAGCCTGGCCAAGATGGTGAAATCCTGCCTCTATTAAAAATACAAAAATTAGCCAGGCACGGTAGCAGGTGCCTGTAATCCCAGCTACTCAGGAGGCTAAGGCAGGAGAATTGCTTGAACCCTGGAAGCAGAGGTTGCAGTGAGCTGAGATTGCACCATTGCACTCCAGCCTAGACGAAAGAATTATACTCTGTCTCAAAAAAAAAAAAAAGATAGGGGCCCAGCGGGGTGGCTCACACCTATAATCCCAGCACTTTGGGAGGCCGAGGCAGGTGGATCCCAAGGTCAAGAGATCGAGACCATCCTGGTCAACATGGTGAAACCCCGTCTCTACTAAAAATACAAAAAATTAGCTGGGCATGGTGGTGTGTGCCTGTAATCCCAGCTACTCAGGAGGCTGAGGCAGGAGAATTGCCTGAACCCAGGAGGCAGAGGTTGTGGTGAGCCGAGATCGCGCCATTGCACTCCAGCCTGGGTAACAAGAGTGAAACTCCTTCTCAAAAAACAAAGATAAGAAAATTCCTGGTCTCATACCAACTTGTTACCCCCCATTTTATGACATAATTATAGAAAAATGAAACACTCAAAATTTTATAAACATTGCACTCCAATGACCATTACTAAATGCCTCCCACTGATATGGGAGCAGGTGGCCGGGACTCCTGGCTTGTCACTTCACATTTGCAGTCTAAAAATCTGGAGCGCAGGCTGGGCACAATGGCTCACACCTGTAATCCTGCCATTTGGGAGGCCAAGACGAGTGGATCACTTGAGGTCAGGAGTTTGAGAGCAGCCTGGCCAACATGGTGAAACCCCATCTCTAAAAAAATTAATTAGTAAAAATAAAATAATAAAATAAAAAAATCTGGAGCGCAGCAGCCTGCACTGAGGAAGCTTCACTGGCCCTCATGGGTCACATGCCACATGCCTAAATAGCAGAGCCACAGGGTCTCACGTAGCAGCCATAGCCACATGGAGCTACTGCACCCTGGAAACGTGGCTAGTCCGAACTGAGATAAACTCTAAGCATAAAATACACATCGATTGCAAAGACTTACTATTTTTAAAAGGTAAAATATCTCATTACTAATTTTTATATTGACAACATGATTAAATGATAACATTTGGGATATGCAGGGTTAAATAAAATATATCCTTGATATTATTTCACCTGTTTCTCTGTACTTGGTTAATGTGACTACTAGAAAAGGTAAACTTACACACAAAGCTGGCATGCTATTTCAATTAGATTGCACTGCCCAGTTGAATCTAGACTTGGACAACTCTAGTGAGAAATTCTCAGACAGCTGCTTCCCTTCACCTCAAAGACTGGCTACCGGGACCGCTAAGGATCCAGGCTCAGAGCAGAACACAGTATCCTTCTCTCCAAGATTCACACTTACTTAATTTTTCTCTGGGAGGCAGCCAAACCTCTTCATAAATATAATCTTATTCAACTAGAAGAAGCCAGAACTCAGAACTGAGCCAGTTCCATCCCTGCCAGCAACGTTACCTGTATCCTGAAAGCTGACCTCATATCCATCTGGTACACTGGCAGTCTTGACACAACACTGACCATCGCCCTCTGGAGGATGACTTTGTCAAGCAAATAGCACCAAGAGACTCAGATTCAGATTTTTGTATAAAATGTCAAACATTAAATCAAAGCTAACTAGGAATACGTAGGGTCAAGAAAAAATAACAACAAAAAACAGGAAAAACAATAAACCAGAGAAATAAACCTGCAGGGGATAAAGATGATAGTATCACCATTTACAGACTTTAAAATAACTATATGATATGTTCAAAGAAATA